TTGTAGTGCACTTAGCTTGGTTACTATTTTTGGTCAAATATATAGTTGCTACTTTAACCATGATTATGACAAACCTTTTCAAATGATGCAGCAATAACTTGAGAGAGAGAGAGAGAGAGAGAGAGAAACTGGTGCACATTTTACTCTGACCTTACTTGTCAAAGTGCTGAGGACCCCCTCTAGATTTACATTAACTGTCAAGGGAAAAAGGGAACGTCAAGACTTTGTGTAAGAGCTCTAAATTTGAACGATACATCAAAACAACCAATTACRTGTTCACCATGTTGACCTGAAAAATGTTTGCAATGACTCAAAAAGTTATGAAGGGCTCTGGAGCAAAGAAAATACAGTTTTGGTTCTATTCTATTCTCTTGGTTTTATCTTGTTTCAAAGAATTACTAATATAAATATTACTTTATTCTTTTGTGTTGAAGAACTTTAACAATCTTTTCACTGTGGAACCTCAGTTTTTCTTTAGTTTTGCTACAAAAAGAGAATTCAGGTGTGYAAAATCCCTGTTTATTGTCTGAAACACATCACACTCAGAAGGCAGATAAGAGTTTGGAAATCTATTGTGTGGAGATGTGTTTTCCAAGTTATTTACCTGATTCCGACTCTAAAGCAAATAAAATGTGTTTGTAGGTGCTTTTAGGCTATTTTCACCCATAAYCCTCTCAGAATGGTTGACTGATGGATGTTTGCAAACAACTGTCTCAGCGTAGCAGCCGAATGCCCACAGACATATTTCTTTTTTCCTCATCATTTGGTATGCAACCCTAGTCCAGAAAATGAAATTTGATTTCAAGCCTGGTCCACGTAAAGACAGAGAGTTTAAGATTCTAAATGTCACTATCAGGTCTGGCAGGCAGGTTTGGACCCAAATGCAGGTAAGCAGGCAGGCAGGCTTAAAGTAAAAATGTCTTTATTAAATGAAAAGCCGACATGGCGCAAAAAATGAAACTTACAAGTAACAAGGAGGATACGGAGGGAAGCCAGGGCAGAGAACCAAACAATGAACGAACGAAGGTGGAGAGAAAATGAGCAGGATTTATACTAAGCAGAGATGAGTGGAAATGGAAGACAGCTGAGCTAATTGCAAGTGCAGACAGGTGTGAATGGAAAGATCTAGAGAAAAGGTGAAACTGTGGTAAAGAAGTAATGTCACGAAGAGTACACAAGAGGGAGGCACAAAACAACAAGAATAACACACACAAAACCTCACAGTACCCGTCCTCAAAGAATCGTCTCCAGATGATAAACAAAAACACAAAACCTCACAGTCACTTTAGCTTTTTTATTTTATTTTTTTTGCAATTCACACTTCAGACTCTGCTTTATCCTTGATTTTGTACATCTCATATATCCAGCATTACGGGGTCCCTTCAGAACAAAAGAGTCAAATCGCATTTTAAATTGTTCAAAACAACTCTGAGCAGTTGTTACATTGCATTAAGGTCCGTCCTTCAAACGGTTAGGCAGTGCCTCTGAATTGGAATGAGAAGTGAATTTTGTAGCAGACACACCCACCAATTTTATGACTTGTATTGTTCCATAAGCCCTGKTTCTAACAACGGTCATTTTATTTCTTCTAGGAACATTTTGTCAGAGTTAACATAGCATAGTACGTGGTTATGAATGTTGAGGTGGCTTTGAGAGCGAACAATATCATAGAAACAAGACTGCAAATTATAGGAGGGAGATGGAGAGGGATTGTTCCTGTCAGAATATACACTCTTGTTGTGTAGCTGTGTGTACATCATAAACTCAGTGACTTTTGTTCAAACTTTACTCAGTTCAGTTTCAGAAACTTTCTGACTCATTTAAAGATCTATGAAMCTCACACTTCTCTTGACATTTTTCTAGACGTGACTTCTGAGAATTAGYGGTTATAGGTTAATTTAGTTAAATTGACAATTTAGTCCAAGCAWACGAAGGAAGAAGGAAACAAGACAACAAATCCCAGAGCACTGAAGGAGGGGGGAAAAAAAGAAACCGGGGCGACTAAACAAATGCTACTGAAATCATGATCATATATATTCTAGACCGAGATGATTAGAATGAAAGATTAGATGATTTGCAGCCACCCAGAATGTGTTCCTGGCTAACTGATTGCTGTATCTCACCACCTCCATTTGCATCATCATCAGTATTCATCATCCTGAGGATATGAATTCTTGCCATTTGCTTTGACACCTTTGCTGCTCAGGATTTTCCTGCTAGATAACCCATAGAAGTAAGACATGCAAATGTTCTTTCTCTGTGTGTGTGTGAATTTGTGTGCACACACAGAGGGTGAGATGAATATTATCAAAGAGGGAGGGGGAGATGCCAAGAAAATATTATGCCTGGGGGAGTGAATGTGTGATTGTGGATTTTGTGTAAATTCCGTAAATGGAAAGCCTTGTTCTCTTGCAGCCAACGCAACAAGCTGCAGATACTTTGGCTGCTTTCTGCTTTTTTTCCRCAGTACCACAGTGACAGCTTGTGGTGATTTAAAAAAAATACGCTTGTTCATCTCTAGTGATAAACATTTCCATAGTTCTATAATAGTCACAGATATAAAGTTGTGACAAAATGAAAAACACTGACATGTCAAATGATGGTTARACCTCACAAAATCATGTTGTAGCTCAAATCTAAGATATTAATTAGCTGTACCCTTCAACACTTTAATCAAACTACCTGCTGAGCTTAAGTGTAAGCTAAACCTTTAAAAAAATGCTTAAAATCTTTCAGTATCAACAGGACTTTGGTGGTTTTAGAGTACACCATGACAGGATGATTTATACTCATTAGTTTAATTCTTGGTAACAACATCAACTAGAAACATTAAAAGATTTTTTGGCGTGTCTCTTACATGAAACAAAAATATGTTAACGACCTAGAAGTTGTTGGAGAAATTGATAAAATGAAATGATCTGATGCTGAGAATGAACAGAACTGCAGTTTGCTTTGGTCAAACTTTGTAAATGATGTGCATAAATTCATGCCATGTTAGATAGAATAATAGAATAGAAATAGCCTTTATTGTCCCACAGAGGGGAATTTCAGGTGTAGCAGCAGCATCAGATAAATAGATTCACACAAAAAGTTCTAAAAGCTTATATATTGTGACATTGTCACCTGGTTAGTGCTGAAAGATAACTCTCAGCTACACTACATTAAAAGTTTAAATTAACCGAATTAAAGCCATTTCTATGTTCTCCAAGGTCAGTTGGCTGTGGCAGGCATCATTTGAACACATTTCTCCTGGTTGTGTAATTTATATTGTGACATGCATATACAGGTGCTGGTCATAAAATTAGAATATCATGAAAAAGTAGATTTATTTCAGTAATTCCATTTAAAAAGTGAAACTTATATATTATATTCATACATTACATACAAACTCATATATTTCAAATGTTTATTTCGTTTAATTTTGATGATTACAAATGACAACAAATGAAAATCTCAAATTCAGCATATCAGAAAATTAGAATATTACTGGAGACCAATAAAAACAAAGGATTTATAGAAATGTTGGCCAACTGAAAAGTATGAACATGAAAAGTATGAGCATGTACAGCACTCAGTATTTAGTTGGGGCTCCTTTGGCCTGTATTACTGCAGCAATGCGGCGTGGCRTGGAGTCGATCAGTCTGTGGCACTGCTCAGGTGTTATGATAGCCCAGGTTGCTCTAATAGTGGCTTTTAGCTCTTCTGAATTGTTGGGTCTGGTGTATTGCATCTTCTTCTTCACAATACCCCATAGATTTTCTATGGGGTTAAGGTCAGGAGAGTTTGCTGGCCAATTAAGAACAGGGATACCATGGTCCTTCAACCAGGTACTGGTAGCTTTGGCACTGTGTGCAGGTGCCAAGTCCTGTTGGAAAATGAAATCTGCATTTCCAAAAAGTTGGTCAGCAGCAGGAAGCATGAAGTGCTCTAAAACTTCCTGGTATGTGGCTGCGTTGACCCTGGACCTCAGAAAACACAATGGACCAACACCAGCAGATGACATGGCACCCCAAACCATCACTGACTGTGGAAACTTTACACTGGACTTCAAGCAACGTGGATGAAGTGCCTCTCTTCTTTTCCTCCAGACTCTGGGACCTTGATTTCCAAAGGAAATGCAAAATTTACTTTCATCAGAGAACATGACTTTGGACCACTCACCAGCAGTCCAGTCCTGTTTCTCTGTAGCCCAGGCAAGACGCTTCTGACGCTGTCTGTGGTTCAAGAGTGGCTTGACACAAGGAATGCGACAGCAGAAACCCATGTCTTTCATACGTCTGTGTGTGGTGGTTCTTGAAGCACTCACTCCAGCTGCAGTCCACTCTTTGTGAATCTTCCCCACATTTTTGAATGGGTTTTGTTTCACAATCCTCTCCAGGGTGCGGTTATCTCTCTTGCTTGTACATTTTTTTCGACCACATCTTTTCCTTCCCTTCGCCTCTCTRTTAATGTGCTTGGACACAGAGCTCTGTGAACAGCCAGCCTCTTTAGCGATGACCTTTTGTGTCTTGCCCTCCTTGTGCAAGGTGTCGATGGTCGTCTTTTGGACAACTGTCAAGTCAGCAGTCTTCCCCATGATTGTGTAGCCTATAGAACTAGACTGAAAGACCATTTAAAGGCCTTTGCAGGTGGTTTGAGTTAATTAGCTGATTAGAGTGTGGTACCAGGTGCCATCCATTTTGAACCTTTTCACAAGATTCTAATTTTCTGATATGCTGAATTTGAGATTTTCATTTGTTGTCATTTGTAATCATCAAAATTAAACGRAATAAACATTTGAAATATATGAGTTTGTATGTAATGTATGAATATAATATACAAGTTTCACTTTTTAAATGGAATTACTGAAATAAATCTACTTTTTCATGATATTCTAATTTTATGACCAGCACCTGTATTGTACATCAACCTAAATTCCATAGATCTATTCTGTTCATTATTCTTWATATTGCTTTTTCTGTCCTTTATCTGCAACAGCCCTGGATTTCTAACTGAAACAAATACACTTGAGAGTTTTTTATTTCAATTTTTATTTATTTATTTTTGTCATAAGTAGATTTTCTTTCTGCTCGCTTTACCTAGAGTGTTTCTGATTGGTGTGCAACCTCAAGGGACCTGTCAACTTTTTATATTTGCAGTTTGTCAGATAATGTCAGTCAAACTGTGTTTTCTGTGTTCACATAAGCACACCTGTTGCAGTCTGAAAACCAAAAAATGTTTTTTTTTACTGTGAAAGAAAATCAAACTGGACTCTGAAATAAAAGTTAAATATTCTGCCGAGATGGCGCACAACGTCATTTACACGATTTGACTAAAACATCTGTAACTCTGTCCTCTCTTGGCGTCAGAGGATCTTTATTTATAAATGGCATGAAAGGCAGCAGGTGATATGCGGTCCTTCCAGGAATGCTGAGCATTTTACTGTGTAAAATGAAATCGAGCTCTTCAGTCACCACTGACTGAATAATTACGGCAGAGGAGCGAACTAGGACCTCAAAGCTGTGCTTCTTTCTTTCCACATCATATGCTCTTAATAAAGCATTTCAAGATTCGTGTAGAGGTGCTCATCTCTGCTGGTCGTTTGTGTTACTCACAACCACCTATTAGTCTGACTCATTCACTTTTATTTGTTACATCACTCTTAGGACACGTGTGCTCGGACAGTTCTCATCTCGCAATAATGCATCTGCACTKACTGGTATTGTGGTTAAATTAAAAATCCTGTCGTGTTTTTATTTTTTTATTTTTTTGCACCTCCTTGAATATGCTTTTATAATTGAAAATGACCAGAGATGAAAAAGTCATGAAAAGCAAGAAATAATTGAAAAACACATTTGCAGAATGAAGCGAATTGTTCAGATGTATTAAATTGATTCATTTTTTTAATGCAGTGTACCAGTAAAACTAAATTACAGGTGCACGTCTTCATCTGTTAACAGTTTTTGCCATTAATAAGAAAAAGAACAAGAAAACACATCAAATTCTGGCTGAATGAATAGATGTTAAGTTCACATCCAAATATTCAAGCTCGCTTTTAATTTTCAAYTTTTTACTTATTATGCTTGGGCAACAACCAGGAATCAGCTCTTCATGCCCTGCTCTTGTGTATTTAAGGCTGTTCATGGAAACAGGATGATGTGAGTGACAGATGGAGCTGTGTGCATTTGAAAGGCATACTTAAAATTAGATACAGTAAATAATCACTGTATGGTGWGAAGGATTAAATCAGTGATGAAGATGTATTTATGAAAAGGTTGTTGACTTTCTGACACCAGAGGGTGCTCTAGTCTTATGAACGCTAAGAAGTTTTCATTTTTCAGTCCATTTCCATGAGGGTACTCACATTACATTTAACTTTTGTGAAGAATAAATATGCCAGGGGACCAATTTTTCACACAATCAACCACGCTGTTTCTGTTTTATTTTATTAATAACATCCCAAACTTTTCTCTTACACTTTTAGCTACTGTTTTATCCTTAGTGTTTTTCATTGTTCAGAAATTCACAAATGTTGTGTTTTGGCTCAACAAAAGTGCTGATTTCTTCYCCACAGATTCGAGGCTTTCTCTCCAGGTTTGATAACGTCCTCCCTGCCAGTTTGGCCTTTGACAAATGCACGGCCTGCTCTCCTATTGTAAGTCTCATGGTTTGTTTCTCTACACTTGTAATTATATGCTTTCAGTCTGCCTTTGTAACAACACAACACTTAATGAACCGTAGATATAGAGAATCTGATTTTCTTATCAGGTCAAAATCCTGTTACTATGTAACAGCAGTGTTTTGAAAGACAAAATGCAGGCTTAGCAGAAATCGGGGGGATTCCCAGCTCTGCTGTTTCCACATTGTTAAGTCAATGAAGCTGTGCTGAAATGTTGTTCCTTGAGGAATACTGAAGAGACGCACAGCAAAGCTGGTTAAACCATATGGTAACAATCAAGCAGCCAGTTGCTCACTGATGTCAGAGACTGTCGTTCGTTCCCACCACTGGTGAGCGTGTGCGTTTATGAACGGGTCGCGCAACAGTCCAGAGATTCTAAATCGGGCAAACATGGTTGTGACTGGTCAGCGTGGTTAGCGGTACAGATGTGTAAGCGTGTAGGAGCAGGGATGGAAAACAACAGTTTACTGTCCGAGGAAGTATATAAAAAAACTAGAAAGACAAGGGAGTATAACAAGTAAAAGTGGAGTACTGGAATGAAACGAGTGTTGGGATGAGTGGAGAGCTGGTTTGCTTCATTTCCCTCTTGATCTCAATGCCGTCTTTGTGTCGATAAAGAGGTCATAAAGCCCCAGATCTATCGCTTTCATGTGAAGACAGGGAGACACTAAGAGGCAGATGGGGGCAGGGAGTTGGCTAGCTTCTGCACTAAAACTTTTTTTTTCCACCTACGCGCTTAAAAAAAAAGCATGGCGTTCCAGCCCATCTTAAGGTGTCATGTTTCTGCCTGTGTGACTGATGAGATTATTTGGTCCGCACAGAGGTGTTCATATGCTTTGACAGAGGGTGGGTAGAGCCTGTGTAGGCAGGAAGAATGGGCTACATGAGTTTGTAAGGACAATTTGTTTCTGAGGCAGGGGATAAAGTGAATATGTTTTAATCCCACCCATACATCTTTAGCCTCCCTGTTTTGCATTTTGCTTATCCGCCTTTCACTCTGCTCTTTTCAGCCTACTCAGATTTCACCTCTCCTCCTTCTCCCTTCCGTCTCGCTTCCTGCTCTTCCTCCCCCCCATCTCTCCCCTCTTTTGTGTGTCCCAGTGTCCATATATTGGTGTGTTCACTTTAATGGCGTGCGTGTGTGTGTCAGTCTTTGTCCTCACTTTGGATTTGTGTGTGTGTGTGTGTGTGAGCAAGTGGATGTCTGCCTGTGTGTATTTCTGCCGCAGTCAGCTGTGGGCTGCCAGGTCACTATGGAAACAAAACAATTCAGCCTCTGTCTGGGCTGGAGCAGTTCCTGTAGAGTTGGGGCTTTTCACTTTGTGTGTGTGTGTGTGTGTGTGTGTATGTGTGCTTTCCAACTCCTATGGGGCTACAAGCCAATAAAACTACACTCCAAAGAGTAAATCACAGCTGACGTGGCATTGTCCAAGACCATGCCAGACACCTCTTACTACAGCTACTTGTTCACATTACCAAAACGTTGCCACTATGTATAGGAAACTATTTCTGTACAATGATTTGCATTTGCGTTAAAAAAGTTTGCACTTTTACAACGGAACTAATGACAAGTATCACACCGTCTTTAAKGGAAACAGCTGTCATAATTAGTCTCGAATGTGCTTGTGCGTTTGAAAAAGCTGAAACWATTTTTCAGATAATAATGAGAAAGTATATAAAACTTGGCAAATATTTGAAATTTTCACTAAACGTTTAGTTTAAAGGGAGCTATCGTGTCTTTTCCAGACACATAGTTCAATTCTATACCACAAACAAGTAACTATGGTACCTTCAGTTGTTATTAAAATGCTGTTTACATCATAATTAATTTTGACTTTTCATCATAGCCTAGCTAAATGCCTCGAAACTGACCTCTGTCTCTTTAAGTACCTCCTACCGTTTCCTACACTCCCACTTCAGCACGTCTTCACAGTAATCTTTCGGTGGAGGGGTGCTCTGCGGGGCGGGAGCTCGGCTGCAGACTGAGCTCCAGGGAGAAGCTTTGTACAAATAGGCGGTGCTTTGTACCAGCAAGCGTTCAGGCAGCTCCACATGACTACCACAGGAGATTGAAGGATTTCTCAAACATTTATGAGTAAGTCGAAGCAACACTCCTAGGTGTGGTTTTGAAGTGGGAATGACATTATAACATGATATAAAGCTCAAAAAGTTGATTTTGCATCGTGGCACCCTCTTTAATAATTCATGATGAGCTGTTACTTTCATATTTCTCTCAGTGGCTTTTCGCTGTTGATGACTACTATAAGAGTTTTGAGTTTGACAATATTTCCTGAAGAAAAGTTCAAAGGTCAGTGTGCTGTTTAGACAGTTTATTTTACCTTTACTTCAAGGTAGCTAGACTAGTTCAAACATTCAGCTTTTTTGAAGTCAGCTAACACATCTGCACACTCTTCTTTCAGTACGGAAAACTACGGTAACTTTATAACAGTGACTGATAGCTCTGCTAATTATTTCCCAGCTCATTTACACTAATGTTCTCTGCCTCAGGTTACTCATTTGAACATGTTAGCGTAGCCTAGCACATATTGGTGTTACCCATAGACTTGAATATAGAACACTAGACTGAGCCCCGCCCATACCGTTC